TGAGAGAGTTAATTTGTGTTTTAAGCTTTTTTAAAAATTAAACTCCAACCATTTCTTTAAAGTAGGTTGAGTTTATGAAATGATTGTCGAGGGATCATGCTGCTTGTCACTAGTTTTTATTTTGGAAAGGTGTGAAATTGAGTTTATACTTATTTTCCCCTCAAATCTATTCTGATCCTTGGGAGAAAATTTGCACATTGGAAGCATTCCCTGAACGTCCTACCCTGACTGAGATCACACCAACGTGAAACCACTTTTCATCACCTTGCAGATGCCATTATCTGCGTAACTTCCAATATCCCAGATGTTCAAGGTGGGCTCATTCTATTCTGTTTATTCTCCACCTCTCCACCTTTTTTCTGTGTTTTGACTTGTATACATGCAGTAGTCTGCTTACGCTGTTACTACAATACTATAAACAAGGTCATTTAAACAAAAGATGCTTATTTCTCAGTTATGAAGGCTTGGAAGGTCAAGATACCAGCAAATTCAGTTTCTGCTCAGGACTCTCTTCTGGGTTTGTGGACACAGTTCTCATCTTTTTGCTGTGTCCTCACATAGCAGAGGTCTCTTCTGCTTCCATGAAGTTGCTAATCTCATCATGAAGGCTACATTTTTGTGACTTCATGCAACCATAATAACCTTCTGAAGGCTCCATCTCCAAATACTACCACACTGAGGGATAGGCCTTTAAACACAAATTGGGGGGCAGGAGGTGACAATTCAGTCCATAGCACCCTGCCTGTGGGTTCCACTTTTGACAGTAGGGTCACCAAACCAGGAAAGGATTCTTTGGCTATTCTAGACTAGAAATCTAAGGTGACTTGGGAGTATTCCAGCAATGCCAGGGCATGAATTAGAGTGGGAGGAACAAGAAACTAAGCCATTGGGGTCTGGTTCTCAGGTGAGTCTGCCACAGCCTTGGGTGGCTTTACAAGCAGTATCTATGCATCCACATCCCAGAGAATGGTAGGTACCGAGATTTAGGCTTCTGCAGCTCCCCTGAGTGTCAGACTGGCTCTGTCCCAGCTGGGATGTATCACATGTATTCTCACTGTACAGGATCTGGACTTCCCACAACCACTATCTTCTAAAAGTAGGCTCTATACTGCAAATGAAAAAGTTTGAAACATGAACAGTTACCAGTAATGGCATCGCCATGCCATGACGCTGTCACAGACGGTATCTGAGAGCTGCTGCCAGACGTTTCCTTGACATTGTGGCTGAGGAAGGATGCTGCTTTATGCCTGTAATCCCAGGAACTGGGGAGGCTGAGGCGGGAGGGTCACTTGAGGAGTCCAAGTCTAGCTTGGAAAACATAACAAGATCCCACCTCTAGAAGAAAATTTCAAAAATGAGGCAAATACATTTCTTCATGTCTGTAGTTTCAGCTACTCAGTCTGAAGCAGAAGTCCAGGAGGTAGAAGCTGCAGTGAGGTGGGCTCACACCACTGCACTCTGGCCTGAGTAGCAGAGTGAGACTGACTCTTAAAAATCGTAATTATTTACCAATGTAACATTTGCCTCAATAAGAACTCCTAAAAAGTTCATCTAACATTAAACCTTATTTAAATGGCTTGCCCAAGGTTATTAAAAGAGCAGGGAAAAACAAGGCTTGCAAAAATCAAATATTCAACTGGTTACCATTCCCCAACCATTCATTTTTCATATCTCTTATCTGGATGAAGCTTTGAACACAGTTTGGCTGCTGGTCCTAGAAACGTGGTGTGGCATAAACAAAGCCGAGTGCTGGAAGGTTGAGATACTAACAGACATTTTCTTCCTCTGGAAAGTTGGCTATGAAACTTGAGTTCAACTGGCAGAAACGTACACCTCAGACAGCACTTGAGGGTTTAGCAAATATTTATTTTTCACCTACGTTGAACCAAATAGTATTCTGTCCATAATGATACAGTTAAATTACGCAGTACATAGTGGCAGATCCATGTCATAGACACATTGTCAGGGGTCCTTGCAGCTTGTTACCAAATGACAATAAATTGCATGACTTGTAATCAGTGACAAAATATGGCACATGCTGTTACGGATCCAGCCCAGAAAACAAAAGGATACCATACAGACAAGATTACCCCCGTCCAGTGCTCCAGCTTAGAACTAAGCCATTTAAATACAAACAGAACACATTCAGTTTATAATGAAAGCCAAAATATAAAGCTATCCTTCCAAGAAAAAAAGAATAAACACATCAGCTTAAATAACACGGCTACAATACAGACTGTTCATGGAAAATCTATTTATATCTGATTCAAATGCAACAGTTGTTGGCCTGGAAAACAAGTATTTATTTAAAATATAACTTCTTGTGATACTTTGCTGTGAGAAAAAGAACACAGACTCCTTATTCTCCTAAGTGTGGTACTTTCTCTGGTATCTCAAATATCTATACAATAGTAAGTACTTTTCATAATTATATTTTCCAGGCTAAAGATGTCCCAAAGCTGTTCATTTTTAAAGACAACAGCATCTGTTTCATGCTTAAGGCCAGCACTCAAAATGATTTATTGTATTTTACAAATTTTACAAATGTTCTTAATTACTATGACAATTTACAAAAGTCTAAACCCTATAGGAAATACTGGACTCTCAGTAAAAACATGCTAAGTAGTTAACTAACTTTGAAAGGAAAATAGCTATAAAATATATATATGGAATTGCCACGTACTAAACAGGCAAAGATTTTCCGTTCCCTCTACTCTAGAGCTCTTATGAGTGTTTATTTCTATTTTTAATCCCCATTTCTCCAAGTTGATTACTTTGCACTGAAATATTCAGTAATTAACACAAAAGGAAGCAGTGCAGACTGTTAGACGTGGAAGAAAGTCACAAAGCATGAAGTCAAATGCCTTGACTTGTAATCTTCCTTGCTACCTAATTTGGGTCTGTAGCTCAGGGTACCCTCTGCTGAGACAGGAGGTGAACACTGTTCTATGTCAAGGCTCATTCTAGTCGCAGGTCCTCTCTCCAAACAGAATGACAGAAGCAGGAGACTGACCCTGACGGCGGTGCTCCTTAGAAATTAGAGAGTGGTTATACATCTTGCTCAGCTGTGTGTTCCCTGAGGGTATGATTCCTCTCCTTCTTCAAGTTCATGGCTGGGGATGGCATGGTACCATCAAAGGCAAACTCTTAATCCCCCCAAGTCTCGCAGGTGCCTAAGGATCTGCCCATCCCGAGTTCAAGGGTCCATTCATTTGTAGTTTCCCAAGCCTGGGCATTTCTCAAAAGTGATTTGATTTTTAAATTCTAACCCCAGACAGAACTAAAGAATATTTTTGTGATCTGCTCCAAATCAAATTGTCAAAAGAGCAGTGTACACTGACTTTGTATTTTGTGAAGGTAACAGAGGTTTATCTTATGAGTGGTGTGTGAGGAGGGAGAAATACTGAGAAAAAGGAAAGCCGAGGGGGACCTAGGACGTATCCTTGAACTGTCGTGTGCCTGCCTTCTTTCCCTCTACTTCCTGGTCCTCACAAGCTACCAAAAACAGGCAAGTACTGTGATACAAAAGCATGATATGAGAGAGATAGATACATATAATTCCATACCTAATTATACCTGTAATTTAGTGCTCTCCCTAAATTGTGGACCTGATTCCTCAGAATTTTATCAGGTTACGTTTGATTCATCTTCATAAGTTTTCTTTGGATTAAATTTTCCAAGAATCAATTTTTGACATTTTATGCAAAATATTTTTCAGGTGAATAGTTACCTTATTTTGGTTAAATGGCTTTTTTTTGTGCATTTAATCCTAAAGATTTGTGTCAGAAAAGTTATTTTCCACAGCCTTATAGTTTCAGTTACTAAATATTAGTTCACAAATTACATTATTAGAACCATTAACTACTTGTCTTGTTATGGCAATAAAAAACGCTTGTGTCTTACCTGTTTTTTTCTTTATGTATGAATGGGAGATTATTTTCAGTAAATTATGCATTATTGATTTATATGTTCACTTTGAGCATATCAGACAGAAATTTTGCTTCCCTGTGATCCTTGCTAATAATTTATCTCTCCAAATTAAGCAAGATGTTATTGAAATACAATTTTTAAAAATCACATCCAATACCTAGTTTTAAATTATTCTTGGTGGGCAGCAATGCCCTCTGGTGGACTCTTAAGTAAATAGCAAGTGATTTATCCATAGGATTCAATTTTCAATACATCTGTATTGGTAGATGTTTTGGAATTTAACTTATGTGAATAAACTTCTTAAACTTATTTATATATTATAGAATAAAATTAGGACCATTAAAAGTTATCAACCCTTTAATTATACAGCCTATAGCAGGGGTGGGCACCTGCAGCCTCAGGGGCCACATGTCGCCTTCTGGATCCTTGAGTGCAGCCTTATGACTCAATCCAAATTCTATAGAACAAATCCTTTCAGTAGAGGGATTTGTTCGTTGAAGTTTGAATTTTGTTGTGGAGCCACACTTGGGGATCTTGAGGGGCACCTGTGGCTTTGAGCTAACTTTGAAAACTGAAATATTTAAAATTCTACATAAATACTTGTAATTAGTGTGCATAATCCACTTGCTCTCAATTTAAGAAAAATAATCTCATGGGAATTTCCCATAGTAGACAGGTAATGGTTACGTATTTCAGGCAAAGGAAAGCCTTCAAGAAATATTCCCAAAGTCAGAATTTGGTAATAGGTGAAAATGCTCTGAGCACCTCAGTAATTAAGGAAACACAAATAATTTTCCTGTATGTAAATATAAAAGGACAATTTAGCTGATGGCAAATGCTTTTTCATTTTTTCACAAATAAAACATTGCTGAAATCTAAAAGACATTATGGAAACAAAGAGTTTTAGAAACTTGTTTTAGTGTGGCAAACTATTTTTGACTGAGATAATAAACTATAAACATAATCTCTATTAAATCATGAAATAAGCTTTAAAAATTTAAAAATGAATTATTTCTGAAAATGAACTAGACATATCATCTGATCATCTTTTCAAATCTTTCCTAGACAGATTACCACAAGAGGGCAGCAAAATTTGATTACAGTAATTGGAATTCTAACTGTAACTCGGTTAGATTCAACATACTTGGGTATCTTTCTGAGAAGTTACCTTGGCTTCACTCTTTCCACACTGGAGTGAAGTTTTAAAGGATGTGTTTGGTTATGAAACACTATTATTATTAGTGTCTTATGAAAGCACAAGCCTCAGTGACATTTTTTCCTTCATGGGTTATGGCAATCACAACACACCTGCTCCCTAACACTCCTGGCTTAGACAACACTAATACAATAATTCTGAAAGAGTACAGAGAGTTCACACGAGGATGTTGAAGTATCCAAGATTCTGTATATCTTACATTGTGGAAAAGAAAAATTCAGAAAGATATATTTTTATATTTTATGATTATGAAATTCTAATTTTTCTTCAATATCCTAATCTTAAATCTCACCAGGGTAAAATAATTACTATGGAAAAGCATCCAAGTTACTGAAAACTACAGCTATGGTCCCTTTTTCATAAATATAATGCAAAAACATTAAGCAATGTGCCTATTTTACAAAGTAGTTAATTTCATGGGAGATTTATCTGACTGGTCTAATGCGTATATAGAATAATTTATTATAACTTTTATAGTCACTTCTGTATTACAGAAATTCCCGGTAAGTAATATGAAGTTGAATGGTTTCTTATTTCCTTTTTGTTTCCAAATATAAATTCTTCAAAAGACAGTAGATGGTTTCAGCCCGTCAGGAGTCCAGCGTGTGCCTGGGCAGGCGATAGTGCTCAGATTTGGAGCGGAGCCTCTTTTCCCGTGGGTCGGCGTACTTCCACTTGGAGGGTGACATTTTCAGCTTTTTCCTCCTTTTATCTGTGCACCATACTTTTTCACAGTATTCTTCCACTCGCTGGAAGTTGCTGTAACCAATCAGCTGCAGGAATTCCTTGTACCATGGTTTCGCTCCCTGGGGGATGCTGCTGTGGGCAGGACAAGGCATTTTGTGAGGCCCGTCCTCCTCATAGTCTTTGTTAAACATTTCCTCAACTCGCTCCTCTTCCACTACCTCCAGGGTGATTTTACGGACAGTATGGACAAAACTGTGCTCTACTGTCTGGCAGAAATACGTGCCAGCATCTGACCGGCGCACCCTTAGAAAGAGTAAACCAAGATCCATCTTCACCACTCTGTCATCCGTCTTCACCTGCAAGAACAAAACAGGGAAAGGGTACTGGAGCATTATGCAGGAGAAAACTTATACTTTCCCCTACAAGTTTCTTCATTTTTGTCGCATAATAAAATCATAAAATGCGAAGACACGTGAAATGCAAAGACACGTGTGATATTTTGAAGTTATGTATGTTGGAATCCACTTCATATCAATCTTAAGGTCATTTCACATCAAAGAGCCAAGAACACATTCTCCCCAATGATTCAACCAATCATTAAAATGAAACGAGCTAGACATGGTGGCTCACGCCTATAATCTTGAGTTCCAGAGTTTGAGATCAGCCTGGGCAAAGAGAGACCTCATCTCTACTAAAAACAGAAAACTGACTGGTCTGGTGGCAGGTGCTATAGGCCCAAGCTACTTGGGAGGCCAAGGCAGTAGGATTGCTTAAGCCCATGAGTTTAAGGCTGCCATGAACTAGGCTGGGGTACTCTAGCCTCAGTGGCAGGGAGACACTATCTCAAAATTAAAATATAAATGAAATCCTAATCTTATTCTAACCTGTTTTTTTAATGAACAAAGCAAATGCCATTTCCCATATTGTTTCAAGTATTTTTATCCCTTTCAGACCAGTGACAGATGTTTCTATAAGGACTCTTATTAGTTAGGGCACATGTACTCTTACAAAAACCATTAATTCATTGAGTATCTATTATATTTCTATAGGCTTTCCGTTAATAGATTTAAAAAAGTAAAACCAGATTTCTGCTCCAAAGGATAACAGTCAAGCAAATACTGTTTTAATATACCATCTAATATCTTGTTATAATAAATTTTGCACCTTATTTCTATAAATATACTTCAGGGAAAGAAGAACATAAGACTTTCAATGAATAGCTCACGTTTAATCACAAGTAATTGTCCTCGTGAGTGAATCATTTTGACATGAGGCAGAGCTGGATTCAAATACTAACACTCCTATTTATTAATTGAGTCACCTGAGACATTTATACATTTTGCCTTACTTTTCTGTGTAAAAGTGGAGATAATATAATAAAGGATTGCTGTGAAAATAGGCAAGTTTTGTACAGTCCTTTCGATTACCTCTGCCTTTTATCTGTACATTCCTCTAACTAAACACAAATGTTCTACCTGGCCTAGGATCTTCTGATATTGGCATAAAGATGATTCACAGTAGTAAACTTCCTCCTTAAGAATATGAAAATGGAGGCAAGATTCACCTTTGGTAGCATAAGACACACGTAGGAGAACAACTACAACCCCATTGGCCAGAAAGGCTGCCCACGATAAGCATGCTTTTGTCCCAGTGGCAGGTTCTGGCCCAGACTTGCTTGCCTTGATTAGACCTGGCATAATCGCAGTGGCGATGTGATTACTCAGATGTGAAAACTGGTATCTACGTACTATAGTTAATAGGTAATATGGGAAAATGCATTAGTTGTATAGTAAGAAATAAGGATATGATTAAGTTATGAGATTTCCTAAAGGCTTTTTTTTTTTTTAAAGCCATGTTAAGTATATAAATTACTCTGAAGCTTCAGAGTGACACAGTTGGGGAGGCAAAGAGCATAAGCCCTGCGGAGGTGCTTCCCCGACTTGGCAGAAACATCCCCTCGTGGGCAGAACAGATCCAATATGGAATCAGGAAGACCTGCAAACCAAACCCATCTTTGCTATGGAAAAACAATCTGCTCTATTAATAGGTTTTGTCCAGAGAATCCTTAGCACCTGCCACACTAAACTCTGAAAAGACATCGTGCCCTCCCCTCGTTTTACCACACCTCTGGGACAAACCTCTGTAAGGATTTTTCACCCATCACCAGCTTTTTCCATAAATTTACCGTCTAGTGCAACCTGTGACCATGCTGTGCCTCGGATCCTACTGGAAGCCCAGCCTCCCTTTTATAAAGTTTGCAGCTACATTTGTCCTAGCTGGACCTGCCTCTTTAAACTTTTCTTCCCCTGTGGTAAATGTCCTTCCACAGTTCTGGGTCTTGTCTTTTTTGCTTCCTCTCTTTCTGCAGATTTCTTGTACCCCTAAGGCACAATCCTCCATCCTTCACTCATCTCGTGTTTTATTTCCATTCTTTTGATAACCCTTCTATTTGTTTTGGTCACCTTCCCTAATCGATTGCTTTATTTCCTATCAGGAAACATTGATACCTACATGATCCTCCTTTATTACCTACAATCGGGGTCTTTCTGCTCTGTTTCTGTTGGTAAATTGACCCCCATTTACCAACTTGCCCATTTCTGACAATTACAACATTATCCTTCTCCCCATCCTCAAAAGTCAATCATTTATACTTTCCTCACACCACAATAGGCCACAAACTCCTAACATTTCTTCAGTGGTGACCCTTATACACATCCCTCCCTCTTAACCATTCTTGCCACAGTATTAGACTGTTATAGCCCCTGAATGTCTGACCTTACCTCAAGATTTTCCTAAATCTTTTTCTGTTTCTTTTATTCCCAGACTTATTGTTTCAGGGTCTCTGCTTTTGTCTCTGCCTACAGACTTTTCTAAGGTTTATTACTTCTCATCCTGTTTGAACAACCAAAATACATGCCATCCATTCAGATAGTCCCCCTCCTACTCCTGTGAAACTGTCCTGCCCCTTCCTGTCATCATCATTTCCCCTGTTAATTTTTACATACGTAGTCCGCATGCAACATTACATGCACAGAGAACAAGAACCCATCAATTTTCTGATGGCATCTCTCCCCATTTATTTCAAGTGAGCACTAATTGCTCTTATTTAAACCTCACTCCCTTTCGTCATGCTGCTGACGGAGAACTTGCTGAAATCTCTATCATTTGTCCTAGCAGATAAGAATTACGTAAACCTTCCTTCCTTTCTAAATCTGGATCCCCAAAATTCTTATTGTAGTTTCTGAGAGTAGAACAGGTGCATGTCTGAAGAGCAATGAGATCTTACTAATGATTTCTTAAATAACTGTTTATTATCACAATCGGGATCAATAAATTTGGCATGTTGAATGTCAAATTCAATGTTTTTATTGTACATTCTGAACCATTTGCAAAACCTTAATAGGTTCCAAATGCTAAGAACAAAAAAGATTTAATATGTTCATGCTGTGTTCCAGCGAAATAAAAGCTAAACTTCCCTATGTTGTAAAAACACAAAGTTTGGGAGCCAACTGAGTAACGTGTTGGGAATCGAGTCATCACGTGGGAGACGGTGGTGTAGGCAGGACGTTTTATGCACCCCCCACACACATACAGACACATGGCAGCATGTTCTATGCTACGTTCAGAGATACCTATTTCTGGGAAAGAAAAGTCACATTAAACATTTTCATGATACATCGTTGTCCTTGTTATTTGTAAATTAATGTTCTATAACTGAATAAAAAGCTACAAGCAGAAGGAACCTGTTTTAATCTTAGGCATACTGAATGAACATTTTAGTATTAGTCAAACTAGCAGCCTAAGATGATTTACTTATAAGAGCAGGTGATGGGGTAAACCTGTTTATTACTAGAATTAAACCTTCCCTTTCATAATTCCTTCAGTCCCCTGATCACCACCCTATTTCCCACTTCCAGCTCTTATCCTGATCTTATTCATTTTTCCTTTCCCTTAGTAAACCCCTGTCTACCGTCCACCAATCCATTTTTTCTTCATTTCCTCCCAGGCCTAGTTAAATTTTTATCTTCCTTTATAAATACTTCATAGCCCATACAGATCTTTATTTTGGTAACTCAACAGCATCCACCTTTGTAGCACAAAAGCTGTTTATATTCTTCAAATTATTTCTGCTGAAATTTTCTCTTTAAACATAACTTTCTAAGGTTAAAGGCCTTTCTCCTCATTCATTTATGAGTAGTACTCAGAACACGGTGAACACTGAGCACTTATTAATTTATAGGAAACAAGCATATAAGGCAACGGGTGCATCAACAGGAACAGAGTCAAAAGTTATTCACATCCTCTAGGTAAAAACAATAATCTGAATAAGGAGGCAAGCATGATTTCAGGAGCTCTTAGTAACTGAAGAGAGCTCCTTCACAGGTATGTTGGCAAAGCAGGTATTTTTTTTTTTAATTTCCCAGAAACCAAGACTTGGAAATACTGCATTATGTATAGATAAAGTCCAGACAGGTTCCCATTCAAAGACGTGAAAGCCCAACTACTGCCACGGGAATTGTCCTACACTGCTCGTTTGCAGGTCAGAGAGTGTCTTTCTCAGAAGGTTGATCTACCCTCCCGGATACAGCAAATCCACACTATTAAGTCAGGAATAGAAGCTATTTTAACTCTGTGTGGAAGACCATGTACTGTGTAGGTGAAATATGTCTTCCATAGTCTATACCTGAAAATAGAAAATGACTTAGAAATTTGTATTGGAAATCTGTCCACAACTTAGTCTTTCCGCTTTAGTTAACTGTGTGCCTCCAACATCAAATCTCGATTACAGGATTGTTTGCATCCAGCTGTGCTTTTCCTGTCTGCAGACCAGATTTCCTTGGTCCAGAAGACGGTACATAATACATCATTTCTATCAAATGTTCTTTACAAATACAGAATTTTTTTTCCAAAAATGGTTTTAATATTCTTAGCTATAAAGATTGATTCAGTATGTTTTGTAATGTCAAAAAGAAGTAATTGAACAGAACGCTGCACATCTGCTAGCTGGTCGGGAAGAAGGAGTGATTTCCACGTGTCAGCCACATGTTCCCACAATTTTCATAGGAAAGAGACAGACATATGTAGGCCTTGAATTGGTTAAATTCAGAATATATTAATTTTTAGTCAAGAAATAAAGACCATTTTTTTAAATCTGGCCTGCCTTCAATACTATATATGCACACATACACATTTATTTGGTTAAGTTACAGAAAAATAACCCTAATATGACAACATAAAGTATTTTTATTAAAAATACTCTCTAACATGAGCCTGATACATGTAGTAGATACATGGTGAGGGGAATAGACTGTTTCGGGCAATATAGCATGCTATACAAAAAACAACTGTGGAAAAA